TGAAATGCCTTTTCTGTCTCACCCAAATGCTGTGTGTTTTACTATATCAGTAACAGTCACCTTCAGGGAGCATATTTTTGCCATCTTGCAAGAACTGACTTGCTAAAAAAGGGATGTCACTGAAACATAGAAAGCCAAGGAGCAGAGATCTGAGAGACCACCAATTCAATGCCTTCCGTGTGCACATGACATCAAGATAAATAAATGAGCACAAGTACAAGAAGGTTAATGAGTTTGCTCAAGATGTCACAGTAATTCTGGGACAGAGCCAGAGTTGGGACTCAAATTATTTGAGACCTGAACTTGGGGAGTTTGGGTATTATCATATGCCTTGATGGTGATCATTCATAAACTATGATGCATTAACACGGAGTAGATCCTCAAATGTAAGTGCCACTTCATAAAATATGTGAGCAAAACTAAGCAACTCAATTGTCTCATATTTTGTCAGCTAACTTTTTGTAGACAATAATTTTCCTTAGTGTGTGATCTCGGAACAAGCTGGTAGTAACAATCTTGTGTATCATGCCCTGTTTTGTTGTGGGGCTTCCCAGGTGGTGCAGGGGTAAAGAATCCACCTGCCAATGCAGGAGATGCAAGAGACTCGGGTTCGATCCTTGGGTTGGGAAGATCCCCTGAAGTGGGAAATGGCAACCCACTCCAGTATTCTTGCCTGGGAAACCCCCTGAGCAGAGAAGCCTGGCGGGCCACAGACCAGGGGGTCCCAGAGTTGGACATGACTGAGCAGACGCACATGCTCTTTGGTTATGGTAGTGCTGGTGGAGCAGTACTATTTCAAAATGGGCAAGTCTCAGACAGTAATCCACTAAATTTAGAAAAATTACATAGTACATGAAGTTTTAGATGGTAAAATGTGCATTTTCTGATTATTACATTTTTAAAAAATCTAAATTCAACTAACATATTTAGTCACAGAGTGTTGACTAAATTTTTCTAGAACTTTCTCTTAGAGAAGGGGAGCTATGTGAGTAAGAAAAAAAGGATTCTTGATGTCTTTCTACTTGCCTAAAACAGGCATATGATCCTGGATTCTTACAGGAAAGAAAACTCTATAGATGGTGATAACTCATTTTCCCTGACCAGTGGCTGATAAGATGTATCTGAGAGAACATTTTCATCTCTGGTTATCGTTACCCAAATCTCCAAGCTTTCCCCTTGATATTTTTGGGCAGGAAGAAATGGTGGCTTGTGAACCAAAGATTCAGAAAGAACCAATTCCATCTGGATGATAACCACTCTTCTTGGAACACTTTCTCTGGTCCTATACTTTGCCCTTCACCGTAAGTCTAATACCAAATCCAAAGTCCTCAGCAGAATCCCACTATTAGGCAAGGCTCAGCCCTTAATAACCTTTTAGTGAGATGTGAGGCCTTCACTTAAAGTTCTGCATAGGATGGAAACATGTACGACAGCTATGCTCAGCCCCCTAAAGCGCTATAGAACTAGGGAGATGGCATTTGCCTATGTATCCACAGGCAAGGCAACCAAACTAAATCAATAAATGACCTGGAGTCTATAAATACCACATTCACTACTTCTATGAACTGCAGTCTACCCATATAAATGGTAGTTGTTCAAATATCTCATTCCCGAGGAGCAGGGTTGGGGGGCGGGGGTGCATGTTCTGCCCGAGTTTGAAGTTATCCTTCCTTATGAAAACAGTTTTTCAGCATGAGGGTAATTTGAAATGAGCTACACAGGGCAAGTTTTCCCTGAAATACTCCCTTCAATACACATGAGCAGTCAGAGTATTATTTCAATGTCTTGTGCATTAGTTGCACAGGTCAGATGACTAAATCTCCAATTAATCAGGTCCTCTAGTGGCCTGTGTGAAATAAATTAGTGTTCTCCATCCAGTCCACTTAGACAAAACCCATCACGACAGCTGGCACATTTTTGGCCCTGTCAGCAAAGTGGGTAAAAAGTAAATGACCCATATGGACAAAATGGGCATCAGACAAGGGGCAATGGTTAAAAAGTGCAAAGCGGTTTCCATCCACTGCAGAGCAGAGAGCTTGGGTATCTGCCAATGTGATTTTCAAGGGAAAGTGAACTTAAAATGGGCATAGAGCCCATAAACTATAGGATAAAATTCCTCATGTTCATCTAGTTAACTGTTTACAATGTTCATAATCTAGAAATGCAGTTTACCAACTGGAATATTTTTAAAGACTATTACTAATAAGATTACCAATAGTTATGTAGAAACTTTAAACAAAGAGGCAACTCTGAGAAACAAAGGTACTTCACAAGCTCACTTATTTCATCCTGCAAGGATACATGAAAATATTCTATTTTAAGGTTATGTTTAGACTACTTTTTCATTATCCAAAATATCTTTGAGTTTTTCTCATGAAACATTTCCAAGTTGCTAAAAATAATCTTAAAAAAATAAGGTTTAAGTACTTTACTAAAAACATAAATTTTCATACAAATGTACTTATATATGACAGATATTCACATAGAAAGTTAAGATCACATTAAAATTTCAAATGCATTTGCTTTACGGGGAGCCAGCTGGATAAAAGCAGATGAGATGGGAGGACCCCAATCAGCTGGGAGGAAGGACAATAGAAACCCGCGTGTATGTCTATGTTAAGGGATCGTTTCCTCAAATTTCATATTAACGTCCTCATCAAACACACAAAGATTAAGTCAAACCAAACAACTGCCATTGCTTCCTCTTAAGGGGTTTGTTCGGGAAACTCAGAAGGTGAAAACATCCAAAAAAGTGTCTAATAAACTTTACTTGATTGCATCTTCGTAATACATTTTCTACATGATAGCACTAGTTATAAACCACGTAAATAAGAGATCAAAAATTTAAAAGACCAACAAATCAATCTGGTTTTGCTTCCCATATGAATATGCCTCCCAAATTACTCAACAGTCTTTGGACCTTTCATCTAAATTTATGTGAACACACACAAGTATGTGCACATATGCATATATTTTAGTACATATTATAGTACATATAGACATAGTCTTCAAGTTTCCTTTCAACTCCAAAATCTAGCTTCTCCTAACTGCTCTTTTTTCACTAATGTCTAACAGATTTTACTCTTTTCTTTACCCTTACAAATATTTAAAATTCATTTCTTTTAGAACCCATTCATAGAGTTCAATTATCTGCACTTCACAGACTATAACTTCAACTCTCACCAATTGGGCTTCCTGGCTCTCGTGTGTTGGAACTGGCATTCATGTTTTATATTAGAATGGATACAAATGAGCCCATCTGTGAATAAATGACCTTATCTGGTCTTGTATGTCCTGGACTGTGGTGGCGTTTCTAATGGGGTGGATCCTTACATGGCTGCATGCTCCACACTCCATGGGATTCACTATTTCTAACCAGCTTTTTCATTAGCTTCTGAGTTCTAAGTATTGTGCTACAGAAATAGTGCTAGAATTCTTATCTTATACAGAAACTGATCTAGCTCTTCTTCCCACCATCCTATTTGATATAGAGCTGTGTCATATTGGAGAGTTAAATCACCAGCCCTGTATCATATAGTCCATTTGGCTATTATCTTGATTTGTAAGATTACAAGTTGTCTTTTATCTGGAGGTTCTCTCTTTGTTTTCAGTACCTGGAAATACCTTTCTTGTTTATAAGCCTAACCATGCATTTAATTTTATTTTCAAATATATTATCAACAGCTTTGTATGTTTATAGAGGGACAGAGAACATCCTATATGAACATAGCTTGTCATAATGACAAGAAATGTATCTCACACCTGACTTGCTTGTTTTTAAGCAGTACTCTGTTATACAAAATTCAAAGATCTTTATCTACTTGGTCAATATTTCCCCTAAGACTTAGTAAGACGTTTCTATTACTTAAAACACATTTTAGGATGTATACGTAAATCTTCTTTTCTAGGCTTCTCAGGTTGACTGATTAATTCTGGTACTAAGGAGATCTTAAAGGAAATGTTTTTGGTTTTATTAAACATACAAAAAAAATATATCCCTCAAAGCTGGGCGAGACAGAATGGAGGAGAAATGTTCTTAATCTATACATGTGCCTCTAAGATTATTTAATTATGGTCTCTTCTTTCTAATTCTCATCTGAAGGCTATTCTAAATTGCGGAATCACGCAAAGTGAGTTTCAAAGCAATACAAAGGAAACAAATGAACAAATGCAGGGTTGTATGAGAAAGGAAGAAACAACGGCACAAAAGAGTTCATCTAGAAATATCAACTATGGCTGAAACCCAATTAGGCTATGTCCTTATCTCTACGCAGAAGACCAAATTATATGTATTTTATACAAGGCAATATGATTCATCACTAGCCTTTCTTCTTTTCCACTGTCATTCTAAAGCAAGTCTTGAAAGCAGACACATTGTACTAAAGATCTGGCAAATTATCCCAGGCTTTGGACAAACTGCAGAAGCCACACAGCCAGAAACACAGAGGGTATATACACTGTTTCCAATCCCTTTGCACCAACAGATATTAGTTTAAGAAATATAAAATCATGAAGGAAATTAGCTTTTTGACATAAGAAAGGTATATTTGTCATTCATGATTCTTCTCATTAATAACAAATCATCTTTAGGTAGAAGATATCCCTTTAATTTTACAAGAATCAATGTCAGCTTTGGCAATTTGCAAAAGTAGCTGCTGACCTATATATGAAAAATCCACACAGGCGTGAAGTTAACATGCAAAAGAGTAACATAACCTGCTTGCTTTTGAGGTTCTTTACCAAAAATCAAAATGGTATCTGACATTTGAAATCAATACTTCTTTAATTTTTTTTTCTCTCCCTGACTAGCAGTTTTTAAGCCTTATGAAAGAAAGCACCCACTGTCTATTTCAAGTTTGACTCTAAAGTATTTGACTTCAACATATTTCCCAATTAAGTGTCATGACAATGCTAGTCTTTTCAATGATCCTACAAAAGAATACCTGGGGTACAGAATTTCAAAAGTGACACAAGCAGCAACCTTGTACTTTAGTACTTACCACGTAAAACTGTGAGTCTGGTGGACACGCTTATTTCTCCCACGTTATTCGAAGCCACACATTCATAAATGGCCTCATCACGTGGAGTCCGTAAGGGCTGTATTCTGAGAACTGATCCAGATCCATCGTCAAACTCTATTACCTATTAGAGGAAAGAGTAGCTGTCACAGGTGTTGTTACTATCATCTACCTCTCAGCTAAACCTCCTAACGCAGCGGTGGACCAGCCATTAGGCTCACAATAAACTCAGAAGCATTTTGTGACTACATTTTGATACAGTGATGAAACAGACTAATTGGTCTAATGTAATGAATCCTGTACTGAACAATGGAAAGACATGAAACTACATATGCAAAAAAAGTAAATTTCTTATCACTACAGAAAACCATCCAGGGTTTACTCATGAAAGTATTCCAGTATATGTATCTAGAGCATTGTGACCCTGGTATTAATTTTGCAAGAGACTTGCTGTGATGGGTGAACTTCTTAAATTATTCTGTCTTTGATAGTATAAACTCACATGTAGATCCATTCAGTAACTGAAATGTAAGGTGAAGAGATAATGCATACCACCACTGATAGCTATTCTGCTTTAAAATGTCTCATCCTAAACAGTATAGATGAGCGAACCATGAAGAGAAACTGCATAAATCTAGTACTTAGGCAGCCAATGAGATGTCTTTCACAGCCCAAGAGACTGATGGCATGCATTAATTTTGCAATAAATCATTCCAGTATTTGTTCTAGCTTAGCATTTTCTGCATTTTTAGGGCATTCTTGCTGTAAAATGGAGGCTTGCTTCAGCCGGCAGAAAATTAATGTTCTAAACAGTAAGCCTGAATTCACTTGTACTGAATTCAGTTATGGACTGAACTCTGAAACAGTTAAGAAATTTTAGGTATTTGTCACCAAATTCAAGTAGTACTTTTTAAAAATGATGACACTGATATTGAGGCCATGATGCTGATATTGATATGATATGATAATATGATGATATTGATAAATATGTACACAAAACTGTGGAGTCCTCTACTTTTCTATAACTATGATGGGTTTTTTTTTCATCTGTTCACTGAGATTCTGTGTTTTTTTTTCCATTTCCCTATGAATAATACAGCCATGTGCTTAAACTGTGAATAAAGAGTGCCTTGGTAAATATATTTACAAGATGCTCAATCCCAGATTTTGTGTATAAGTGTCAACATATGGGAAAAAAGGGATTGAAAGTTTTTAAAATTTATCCATTTCAAGTCCTTTTCACATTCCATTTATGTTCTAAATTCACAGATAGCCAAATGTCCCACTTCTCAATGTATCACAATTTAGTTACAACTCTATTAAAAATATCACACATTTTAGAGTGAATCTACTATGCATCTTGGGAGAATAAAGTTCCAAAGTTACTTTGAGACTGAATTTTTGTCAAATATGCCATAATTTAATATATATGTGTCTGTAGTAAGAGAACATCCCCTTGCTTACTGTAGAGAAGGGTTTAAACATTTTTAATACTAATTTCAATTTTGATTTTTTTGGTCTTATTGAGAAATATCTGACATACATCACTGCATAAGGTTTAAGGTGTATACAATGAAAGTTTAATTTACATATATGGTGATATGATTACTACAATACCTTTAGTTAACAGCCATCATCTCATAGAGATATGAGAAAATAATTTTTTTCTCCTTGTGATGAGAACTCAGTATCTAATCTCTTAATAACTTATGATTGTTACCTGTCATTGTGTGATTATATTTCGGAACTGTTTCCTATGTTTAGGCCTGTCCAGTTCAACAAACGAACTGTATATCCCATATTAGCACCCCATTAGGTGCTAATGTTGTAATTTCCAATTTGAAAATTCTATTTAACACCTGGTATTGATTACAGCATCTCTAGGCCAGATGCTATATTTGCCAGTGGAGACAGAAGAGGTAACAAAATCAGTCACACTTACACTCTCACAGGCTTTAGAAACTAGTGAAACCAAAAAATACAATATACTGTTACAGATACTAAAGATTCACAGCCCAAGACTCAATATTATTTGATGTATCATGATTAATTTTTTCTGGATGTGTTTATATGATGCTCATTAGGACTTATGTACTGAGCAGAATTTGTGCTTTGAAAGGTTTACTATTATAATTTAATCTTTATTACAAAAGTTTGTCAAGAAGTCATCATTACTAGTAAGTCTGATGTCAAAATTCTCTTTGACAAAAAAGTTCACTTTAATTTAAACTAAAAAGTCTAAGTGCACCAAAGGTTACATACATACACATCTTTTTCTATCTGATGTAGGAAATGTTTCTTAAAGATTAAGATATTCTTTTTATGTTTAAATCATTATAAATATTTGATCTTCAAACAAACACAATTTTAAGTTTATCATTTGTAAATTACAGTCCAGATTTCAATTTTACCAGTGTAATTAATTAGGCCCTTCATGCATTTGGTCCATTTATTTCAAAAATGAGTAAAATCTCAATGTTCTGAGTTTTGTAGCTGCTATATTTCTTTTAACTGGGAACAACTTTAATTTGCCAAAATGTAAATTATGCTATGAAGCAGATCAGAAACACAGGTAGGAGGAAGTGAGTGTTATATTAGGTATTAGCTGGAGGTCCCAGTACCCTGTAAGAACCAGTCTATAAATCACAGGCATGATGTTGTATGCTTCTTCTAATTTTCTTCTGTGCAGCTTATCACCTATTTTACTCCTCCAAAATGAGTAAATTTATATATCATAAGGCTCCTTCAAAACACCCCCAGAAACAATATCTGATGCATGTTTTACCATCTTCAGTGCACTGAGCTTTCTTGAGTAAATACAACTGATTTCTTCAACAGGTTTAACAACTATCAACCTGTTTGAGTATGTTTCTTCCAGAGCGGTTCTTTACACTAACACACTGGAGCAAAAGTTCTCATTCTAGTCCATGCTACTTTTAAAACACAGGTGAGAAGTATAGTGGATAACTAAACTTGCTGCCCAGTATCCATTCTCCTTCCAAATTACAGGAACTTGAATTGCCTCTAGGAAAACACTGCTCCTTCATTTCAAACCAGAGTTGAACGGAACTGACTTCATTCCCAGGAACAGAGGTAGATTCTGTTTAACTTAGTCAGCCTGTACCATCCAGCTGTTTGCAAAGATTGATTCTGGGATGAACGTGTAACTCAGGAAGACCCGACAGCAGAGGAAGTTCTCCCTCATCCTCTAGACTTGGATGTGGGAGGGTGGGAGGCTGCATCTTGCCATCTTAAGGGAAAGCAGTCTGAAAATGAGGTTACAGATGGATGCGAAAAACACTATTTGAGCCCTGACACAAGTAGGACAACAGTCAGTTATATGAACCCTCAAATTCTCTTTTTAAAAACGTCAGAGCCATTTAGAGTGAACTTTGCCATCCCAAACAACATAAAGAATGACATATCTCAGTGATCACAACACCTTGTATCAGAGTAAAACAAGTAACACACAAACCAAAAATCCAACAGATACATTCTTCCCCCAGAGAAACAGAACAATGGACCTAATACCTCAAATCTCTGATTGCTGACTTTCTTTCCTTTTTTGTTCCAGACAATTTTAGGTCTTGGGTCTCCTGTAGCTTGGCAAATGAAGGAGGCAACTCCACCAGAGACCCCTGTCTGGTCAACGGGAGTTCGTGTGAATCTTGGAGGTGCTAAAACAAAAAAGAAATAGACATCATAATTAGATGGAAAACTGAAACACAGATTATTATCTCACCGCACTGCTCTCTCCACAGCCCTCAACCCTAATTCAGTCAATACATATATAATACACATATAAATATACTGGGATGACAAAATTAGGAAAGCACCTTTTAATTTGAGGATAGATAAAGGGGAAGGAGGTAACTTTCTGGTCAAGTCATCTGTTAGCAGTTTTAATGCTGAGACCAGTATTAAGGCAGAGATCCAATAACATTCGAAAAGGAACATCACACATTAATTTTTATTACCAGTATTAAAAAAATCCAATTTGTCCTCTGTAACAAAATGAGCTCATCAATCAAAGTGAGTAAAATTTTAGCTCCTTGCTTTGATGCTGCTATCAGGATGCTGCCAGAAAGCAGCAATGCCACTGCTAAGCTATTAAAATAAGTGACATTTAAGAGAAATTCTAGGAAATTTTAAAGAGACTGGAAATACAGCCCTCAGTTAGAAGGTTTAGCAAGAAACAGAAATAGGAGAAAATGGTACAGTGACTCCAACCCAGATACTGTGTGCTGTCTTACTTGAAACTTAACTCCACAACTTGCATAAAAAGATGAGTCAAGAAGCCTCCAAAGTCATAGCAAGAAAAATAATTTCTGTAAAGAAAAATGCAGACTTCAAGACTCTAGGACAAAAGGCTAAAAGTGGGAGGTTTTTGAAATGCCCTTCGTCTCCTTTAAATGTTCGTAATATTTACTTTCCTTCTTAAAAATCTGCTCGTTATCCGTCATATATTTCCAGATCTAGAAATTCATTAAATGAGAATTATATACAATGGAGATAAATGCTTATGGACAAAATACTCACCATATCTCTTATTGACAAAGATTATAAATACATAAATGTCAATTTGAGTATTTATAGGAATCGATAGTGAGATCAGCTATGGCATAATCATCAAATAGTAAATGTTATATTTATAAACATATGCCATGAGAAACACTTATGATTCGATGTTCAATGGTAAGCCAGAAAAGCACCACACAAAATTATACACGAGGGGTAACAGGTAAAGAAAAATACACCCCAAAACAGATAGCACAAAATATGCTAAAATATTAACAATCGTGGGGCGGGGGAGAAGGTGTTCTAATTATTTTTCCTCCTCTTCACATTTTTCTTGCATCCTTGAGTTTTTACAATTATGTTATAGTTGGACTTTTTTTTAAACTCAAAAACATTTTACCTCACTACTTTATTTTCTATTTTCTTATCCCTACGATCAAAAAAAAAAGAAACAAAAAGAATTTTCCCTTCTCTCTTGCCGTAATTCACCTGTATGTCATTGAAATAAGGTTTTAAGTAACCATAGCTAACGTTTATTTTGAAAACTCTCCTTAGATTTTAAGAAAGAAGAAAATAGCACAGTTCATCACTATTTGCTCGACACCACTATTTTCTCTGCCTTGTTTTCATGTTTCCCACGTGATGCTCCCGCTGGCCCAGTGATGTGTGTCCTGACCCTCATCATGGTTTTCCTTGAGTCAGGGAAGGCAGCACCAGTGGGCTACAGGTCACAGGGTCGCAAAGAGTCAGACACAACTGAAGTAACCTAGCACACACACACGCACACGCACGCACACATGCCTCATTTTGAGATGCAAAATCTTCCTCTTTCTTGTATATAAATATGAAGTGTGAAATAAATAATTTTGCAGAGATCCCTTTCAGGTTTAAGGTATTAACTTCCACAATGAGGCAAAGAATGGAGAAGTGAGGGGAGTGGTGTATTTGCAATGCTGATAAAGGAACATGAATCTCCACTTCATCAGCAAATTCAACTTGATAGTAGCTCTGGTGAAAACCAGGCCCCCATTTGTTCAGAAACCCCAGGAATGAAAGCAAACTCTGACAATGCTGCTAGATATCACATCCAATAGCATCTCAGGACAGCAATACAAACTAGATGATTACCAGAACTGCGAGTAATGTTTAAAGTGATTTCAAATTGACTAACAGTGAGAGGAACAAAAAATACAGTATACTGATGTCAACTGTCTGTCACAAAACAAAACAGATATTAAACTTTTTGTTTATGTTTTTCATTCTGCTGTTCCAAACAATGTAAATGGATAATAACCACATGTTTGTCACCATCTAATATGGAAATTATAATTATGGAATTGAAATTCCTAGGGAGTTTTCCCTGAAAAAAACATTGCATTGCTATAGTAAGTGATACAACAGTATCATTTTTAGGTACTTTATTTTTCCATAGCTTAAAAATTGGAAAACCAATTTTAATAACCCAGTCTCCCATTTAAGTTGAAATTTCTTGCAAGAATGTATGGACTGGGCAGAGGGATGTTGTATATAATGACATTGTACTAATCAGAAACTGAATAAACAAAGAAGGTAGGATGCCATTTTTCCTGCACTGGGATTTTTTTTTTTTAAGGGGTAGTATCCTAGTTGGCGTCCTAAATTTGGAGATTATGACAATCTGCAAAGAGGTAATATTCTGCCTGCCAGTGCAGGAGATGTGGGTTCGATCCCTGGGTCGGCAAGATCCCCTGGAGAGGGAAATGGCAACCCACTCCAGGATTCTTGCCGGGAGAACCCCCATGGACAGAGGAGCCTGGAGAGCTACAGTCCATTGGCTCACAAGAGTCAGATACTAGCGACTAAATAACAACAACAAATTATTCAGCAAAGTGTTTCCTAGATACTGAGCCAAATTATTATAAAACTTTAAGTCTTACTTCTATATGGAAAGCAAAGGAGGCAAGTTACCATTTTCTCAAAAAAAATGTTCAGATGTGTTTTTCATTTTCTGTTCATACCATACAATTCTCAGGCAAACACTGACGAGCTTAAGAATCTACCAAAGATATGATCACTGGATGCTACTGCAAGCATTTTATTTATTTTTAAATTTAATTGATAATTTTATTTTTTTAATTTTTATTGAAGCATAGTTGATTTATAATGTTGTACTAGTTTCAGGGGTATAGCAATGTGATTCAGTTATACATATAACTACTCCTTTTTACATTCTTTTCCCATATAGGTCATTACAAGGTACTAAGTAGAATCCTGTAAGAATTTTATTTCAAAAGATGAAGTCAGTAGAATTAACCTAATGAGTTGTGGACATTTTGCCGGGGGGGGGACACCAGAATCTGTTTCAAATGTGGGACTGTTTTCCTATATCCCACTACCTACCACTGTAGTGACTCAGCATTCGTCAAAAAAACAGCCCTTAAATTTACTCTTTAAAAACAAACACAAGAAATTAAATTGAAAACACTGTGTTTTTAAAAAGGCATATCAAGCATTTGCACACAGAATTTTTAATTTTTTTCTACATATAGAAATATTAGCCTTCATAGACAAGAAAATCATCACTTTCTTATGGGATCCGATGTCAATTTTTCTACATTTGTCCACCAAATCCAAACCACAGAATGGATATGCGCCATTACTCTATGATACAAAGTTAAGATTCCAGATAATACAGCAAATCCTTTCAGTAAGCATGTCTGTAGCATCCTAAGATGCTAATAATCTTGGTTGGTCAGCCTCTAACAGTGACACCGTCAATGCTAGGCAGATGACCAAAAGGTAAGAGATGAGAAAGAAAGAGTAAACATAACTCCAGCAAACACTGGAGGCAAGTAAAAATCTTTATTCCCAGAGGAACCTAACAACACAAAGCACCTACCCCCCCACCCCATCTCTGCTTAATAGAAGAAACGAAATGTATCTTCTGGCTTCTTCTGTCGTGGATATACTCAAATTTAAGTCATTCTCCGACTTAAAAGCTCCGAAGGTGGGAAGAAAGAGAAGAGAACCCAAGTAAAAGAACAAAGCAAAGATTTCCACTACAAAGTCACACAATAGGACAGTCTCAGGTCTGAACAATGAAATATTCCACGTAATGTATCCCATGAAATACAACCACAAATGTTATAGTTGGTTTAAGAAAAAGAGAAATATCAGGGGTGTAAAGACAGAGAGAGAAATATTAAACTTTACAGTCACTGACATTCAGATAGGCACTCTTCCATTTTCGTAGCTAACTGCCACGGCTATCCACTTAGAGCTGCCAGCACCGGGCACGTCTGTTCAAGTTGGTTCTGACAAGTGAGGAGTGTGACTTTTCATTAAACGAATGCCAAGCAGAGGTCGAATTACTGTTGGACCCAGAAAGTTTATTTTCTAAATGGAAAATAGACAAGCCAAACATGCATATGAGTCAGAACAGAGGCATGGTGGATATTCTAGAACATGTCTGCCATGCTCACGTGTTGTTCAAAGACTGCATTCCCGGGATGCATTCACAGGACAGGAGCTCCAGGAATCCAGTAGATTTTTATTTCCTACACAGCTCGAGATGAGCCACAGGCTGCTGACCGATTTTTTTCTTCCATAGATTGCTTTTTACAGTACAAACAACACACAGTGCCCTTAATGAAATGATTATAATATTTTAATGCTAGATCAGGTCTACAGTTGTTAGGCTTCTGAAGACAAGATGATAAGCCCAAAGACCACTTAAGGTGTTTAAATTCAGGAGACCCTACCAAAACCAGCAAATTGCCTTGACCATCCTAAACAAACTGCACTATTGAGGACAAAACCTTCCTTTAATATGCTATGTTATACAGAGCTAGATATTAGCTGGGGAGAACCACTGAAATCCACCAGCACCATCCATGGAAGAAAAGGGTTTATGAAAAATTCTTCAAGGTTAAGAAAACGACTCAGATTGGTGGTAACTGGATTGATAAACTGAGAATCATCTCTAAAGCCGGCCGTTGGAGAGGGCCATGTGTTACAGAAATGAAGACATGAGCCAATGGTGCCATTTGTCTCATTTAATTCTAATGAATAAGCCACTTCTGCAGACATCAAAGAAATATGTCTGTCGCATGGGAAACAAAACTAACAGCATGTAACTAATTGTCTTTGTTTCTTTCAGCTGATTAACATTTCCTTAAAA